AAGCTGGTAAAAGCAATTCTCCACTCCAGTACCATCAGATCCTATAAAATTATTTGATTTGCCTGTGTGGGAAAAAGAAAGTGAGAAGATGGGAGACAGCCTATCTCAATTCCAAACCAACAAAGCATTTAGGAAAATACCTGATTAATTTAGAATGCAGAACCTCAGCACACTGACATTAACTCCTTATCACTTCAAGGACCAGAGCTTGAATTTATTTATTCCACCCTCAGTTGCTTGGGGATCAACAGAGGGAGAGTTATGGATGGAGCAACAAAGGGAACTGGTTTTGGGAGCAGCTCTCCCAACAGGGGATAAAGGACAAAATAATGAATGCTGCTCCTGTGTCAGCTGCTGAGGGACAATTGTCACCAGGGGTGGCCACAGATACTTGGAGGGAGTCACCTCCACCTGTGCTGTTAATTCAGGTCATTGCATGGAGAGATTTCAAACCTGATTCCACCAACCCCATCTGCTCCAGAACCTTGCTGAACACTCCTCCTCTTCCTCAGGGCCGGCCTGCCCACAGCCCAGACCCTCCCAAATCCCAACTTTAGGGCTTTGGCAGCCACCCATGGTGGATCAGCCACTCCATGAACAAATCCCACCTCCAAACTCAACATTATCCTTCTAAGAGCCAAACAATGCAGTTGCTAAACTCTGCTTGTAGGTTCCACCTTTTCTTGGCTCACAGGCAGGATCATGGGAGGAAAGCAGAAAGAGGGAGGAGAAACTGCTCAATTCAGGTTCAATGTATCCAATGGAAAGTAAGGAACAGTGAGGGAAAGCTACAAAATTCAAGTTCAATATATCCAATGGAAAATAAGGAACAGTGAGGGGAAGCTCCAAAATTCAGGTTCAATGTATCCAATGGAAAGCAAGAATACAGAGGGGAAGCTCTTCAATTCAGGTTCAATATATCCAGTGGAAAGCAAGGAACAGTGAGGGGAAGCTACAAAATTCAGGTTCAATATATCCCAAGGAAAGCAAGGAACAGTGAGGGAAAGCTACAAAATTCAAGTTCAATATATCCAATGGAAAGCAAGAATACAGAGGGGAAGCTCCTCAATTCAGGTTCAATGCATCCAATGGAAAATAAGGAACAGTGGGGGGAAGCTCCAAAATTCAGGTTCAATATATCTAATGGAAAGCAAGAATAGAGAGGGGAAACTCCTCAATTCAGGTTCAATATATCCAATGGAAAGTAAGGAACAGTGAGGGGGAAGCTCCTCAATTCAGGTTCAATGTATCCAGTGGAAAGCAAGAATAGAGAGGGGAAACTCCTCAATTCAGGTTCAATATATCCCAAGGAAAGTAAGGAACAGTGAGGGGAAGCTACAAAATTCAAGTTCAATATATCCAATGGAAAGTAAGAATAGAGAGGGAAAGCTCCTCAATTCAGGTTCAATGTATCCAATGGAAAGCAAGAATAGAGAGGGGAAGCTCCTCAATTCAGGTTCAATGCATCCAATGGAAAGCAAAGAACAGTGAGGGGAAAGCTACAAAATTCAGGTTCAATGTATCCAGTGGAAAGCAGGAATACAGAGGGGAAGCTCCAAAATTCAGGTTCAATGCATCCAATGGAAAATAAGGAACAGTGAGGGGAAGCTCCAAAATTCAGGTTCAATATATCTAATGGAAAGCAAGGAACAGTGAGGGGAAACCACTCAATTCAGCTTCAATATATCCAGTGGAAAACAAGGAACAGTGAGGAGAAGCTCCTCAATTCAGGTTCAATCTATCCAATGGAAAGCAAGGAACAGTGAGGGGAAGCTACAAAATTCAGGTTCAATATATCCCAAGGAAAGCAAGGAACAGTGAGGGAAAGCTACAAAATTCAGGTTCAATATATCCCAAGGAAAGCAAGAATAGAGAGGGGAAACTCCTCAATTCAGGTTCAATATATCCAGTGGAAAGTAAGGAACAGTGAGGGGAAAGCTACAAAATTCAGGTTCAATATATCCAATGGAAAGCAAGAATACAGAGGGGAAGCTCCTCAATTCAGGTTCAATCTATCCAATGGAAAGCAAGGAACAGTGAAAGGAAGCTGCTCAATTCAGGTTCAATATATCCAATGGAAAGTAAGGAACAGAGAGGGAAAGCTCCAAAATTCAGGTTCAATATATCCAGTGGAAAGCAAGAATAGAAAGGGGAAGCTCCTCAATTCAGGTTCAATATATCCCAAGGAAAGCAAGGAACAGTGAGGGGAAAGCTACAAAATTCAGGTTCAATGTATCCAGTGGGAAGCAAGGAACAGTGAGGGGAAGTTCCTCAATTCAGGTTCAATATATCCAATGGAAAATAAGGAACAGTGAGGGGAAGCTACAAAATTCAGGTTCAATATATCCAATGGAAAGTAAGAATAGAGAGGGGAAGCTCCTCAATTCAGCTTCAATATATCCAGTGGAAAACAAGGAACAGTGAGGAGAAGCTCCTCAATTCAGGTTCAATCTATCCAATGGAAAGTAAGGAACAGTGAAAGGAAGCTGCTCAATTCAGGTTCAATATATTCAGTGGAAAACAAGGAACCGCGAGGGGAAAGCTACAAAATTCAGGTTCAATGTATCAAACCTGCATTGCTGAAAACGTGGCCTTCTGTTAAAGCTACAAACTTCAGGTGTGTATTTTGTCATTCCAATGATTTTTGGCAAATTTGAGACTCCATTTTCAGAAACACACATTTAATGCCTCACTCCTGCCCAGTACAAAGACAGACAAGCTGGCCAGGTTGAATGCAGCACTGTGATGGTCAATGGCTTGGTCCCACTCTGCTACACCTGTGTGCAACCACATCATCCATTATTGCTCTATTTGGGCAGGAATTTTACCCACACCAAACTGTTCATATGGTCTCTGCATTTCACAGAAAACACTGACACTAAAGCTTTATGCTGCTTGAAAACACAATGCCAATATAAAATGGCAATTTGCTGCAACAGAAAGTGGCCATTCAATGTTTAAAATGCCAGTTTAAAATAAGTTTAACAGCACTTTTCTGTTCAAACACCACTGATGTAGCCTGGCTCCTAAAGTTCACCGTAATTCTCCTTAGCCAAACTAAATTGGGATGAAATATTTAATTAAGATGTTCTACAAATATTCTATTAAAAAAACACAGCTGTCATGGGAAACAGATGCTGCTCTTTCCTGCCAAATTCCACCAAAAAATATCCAACATCCTTTCGTTCTCCCTCCTCCTCTTTTTCATGCCCCCAGTCCCCCACCCACACACAGAGGACACTGTTACATCACTCCAAGTGCAAATCTTTTTGCTGCCCTCATTTCCCAGAGATTAACGATCAGGCAGCTCAAATCAGCTTTCCCAGCTGCACTGAAGTCAAATATTAAATGGCAAAGCCCAAAGGCTTTGAAGGCATTTCAGTCTGTGTGTGCCAGGCCTGGAGGTGCCTCAATTTACCTTAAAGGACAGAAAAGAGAATTACAAAAGTCACGGGCTAGAGGATTTTTTAAAAAATCATCCTGGTTTACTTGGAGTCAAGGGTTGTGTCAGTGTAAAAGGGAGATCCAGAGGCACAAATAAATGGGATTGCACAAGGAGGCAGAGCAGGGTGGGGGTTATGGAGGAGGAGATGGGAGTCATAACCTTCATAGGAAAGGCTAGAGATGAAATAGCTCACCAGGGAGCCCATCAGTGCCTCCATGGAAGTCACACTAATTGCCTCAAAGTAACCAATTTAGAGTCATTTCAGAGCAATCACTGCTCTGAAAGAGTTGAGGGTCAAGATAAAAGTAAATTTGGGAGTTATTTTTACTTTCCTTTCTCCTCAGCTCTGGGCAAGCTCCCAAAGAGTTCTGGGCTTGTGCTGAGCCATCTCCAGGACAGCCACGCTCTGCTCAAGGGCTGCAATTCTCCTACAGCAATTGGGACCATGCAAGGTTGGCTTGAGCTCCCCAAAAGCAAAGGGGTTTTTGCAGCTTCCCAAGGCCTTCATGCAGGACAAAGAATCCAGTTTGTCATTGCAGAGTGTCACTGCAGTGCCCAGCTGCCAGTCTAACTCCTCTTCACTGCCAGCATCATCCCAAGGCAGGCTCCATCCCATTCCCCATCAGGAATACTGTGCCAGGGCAGAAAATGGCCAAAGGGCTCTGCTCACCAGTGAGGGTCCCTGAATGCACAGGAGGACTGTTCCTGGCACTGGGAGGAAATATTCCTAATTAAAACCTGAATTGTGCGCTCAAGAAAGGAGAATCTATCAAAAACCAGCCCAAAAGCTCAGCTCAGGTAGGCACAGAAGCTCTGCAGTGAGCACAGCTGGGCTGGAAGGGGAGCAGTGCACAGAGAAGGGAACACTTTGTGTGTGTCAGGACAAGTCCTGCCCAAGGAATGAGGGGAACAGAAAAGGAGAGGCTGAAGAATTTACCAGATCCCTCAAAAAACAGCAGGATTTGGTCAAACATTTGGAACCAACAACAGAAATTGTACCTGTTCCAGTTCAGATTCAACCAAGACTTCAAAACCAACAATTTGCACTGAGTGAATTAACACATTTTCATTATTAAAAAGAGACAAGCAAAAGCAAATAAATGATAATTAAACTCACAACCTGCCTGATTTGATATCACTTTTACTTCAAAAATTGGAATATGTAACATAAAAAACCCACAAGACAGAATGTTTGCTCCCAAGATTATTTCCAGAGCAAGACATCATTCTGAAGACCCAAAACAAACCTGTTACTATTTGAGAGGATAAATGAGTATCAAACCCATTAACAGCCCCACAAGTGAGTACACAATAAAATAAACACTCTCCCAGATTATAAGCAAACATGATACAGGCTGTGGCTGTGGCAAGTCAGCCAGGAACAGCACTGAGCTCACAGAGACCCTGGAAAAATACTGGTACTCAGCAAATTACAGTCTAGACAGTCTCCCCTTTTCCCAGAGGACATTTATTTCCTCCTAGACAGCTGCAAACACTACAGAAGAAACCTTTAAACCAACCTGCCCAAGAAACACAATCACATCTTCAAACAAACCTTTTTTAGGACGAGGTTTTGTTGGTTCTGTAGCCGCTGGCGATGGAGAAACCTGAAAAGACAGAAACCAGGAGTAGTAAATAGACCAGGCAAGGGTTCTTGAAGCTCTGTTCCAGAAAATAATCAGAAAGGACAACTGGCAAATCCCACAGGAGGGCATAAAAATAGCAGCATTGCTGCTGGACAAACTCTGCCCTGCCAAGCAAGGCAGAGATTTCTGATTAAATAAACACCCCCATTGTGCAGCACATCCCTGTTGTGGGGTCACTTCTGATCACCTGCATCCCAAAGTGATCTTTACCTTGCAAAAAAAAAAAACAATACTGGAGCATTTAAGGACCTAATTAGAGATCACAGAGAAAATAAGTCAAAGGCATTTATCATCAAACATTTATGAAGTTAATTAGGGCAAAGCTGTTCCTGGGAATCATCTGAGTGCACAGGATGTGAGCACAGGGATGTCCCATCACATGGAGGGCAGGGAACCTCCCCCAGCAAACACTGCCCAGAGCTCCCAGTCCATGGAAAATACATTAATTTTATATGATTGTCTTACTTTGCATCAGCCATCAAACCTTCATGGAAGAGAAATGGACTTACACAGGAAAGTATTTTTATTTTTCCTTCTGATTTTTGGGAAGACACAACACAGGATTTTATACACCTGTGTCATCTTCCCTCTCCTTAATAAATAATTTTTAAAATCAGAGATTCAGACAATCTTTGTTCCTTGCAATGTTTTGGGAACACTTTCTGGTAGCATCTTTTTCTTTACTGGAGATGGGGCAGATCAGAGAGGCTGAAACATGAAAAATAACCTAAGAAAGGCTCTTCCTTTTGGTTTGTTTTTTTCTTTTACTGTTTACTTTTTTGTTTCTTAACAGTTTCTAAAATTTTAGTAACTTTTCAGATTCCTATTGTGAAAAACTGAACTGGATTTTCACGGATTTACCCTACTCTGAGCACTCCATCCTCAGCAGGAATAACCAGCACAATCACCTCATTTTTTTACATATTGCAATTTTTTTTTAATCTGCACACCCATCATTCTGAGTCCTCTCACTCTGCTAAGACTTTCCTGGAGTTTCTCCTATTTCCTCCTCACCTGAGTAACTTTGTACCCGTCCTTTTGTCCAGGTAATTTCTAAGAACACTGAACAACCCAGGCCTGGTACTGACCACTGAAGGGCTCCACAGCAACCACTCTCCACCTCAAAACATTAAATAATTATGGAATGGCTTGGGTTGGAAGGATCTTAAAGATCATTTTGTTCAGTCCTCTGCCATGGCAGGGACACCTTCCACTGTCCCAGGCTGCTCCAAGCTCCATCCAGCTTGGCCTTGGGCACTGCCAGGGATGCAGGGGCAGCCACAGCTGTGCCAGGGCCTGCCCACCCTCACAGGGAACAATTCCTTCCCAATATCCCATCTAACCTTTTCCACTTTTAGCCATTCCCTGTGTGCTGTCCCTCCATCCCTTTTCCCAGTCCCTCTCCAGCTCTCCTGGAGCCCCTTCATGCCCTGGCAGGGGCTCTGAGGTCTCTCCGAGCCTCCTTTTCTCTGCACACCCCCAACTTCCTCAGCCGCTCCTTGTGCTGCAGCCCCTTCCCCATCTCCTTTACTTTTCCCCTATTCCAGCATCTAATAATCCACAATTAATGTTGATTACCTCAGCACAGGCTGAAGTTCCCTCACGTTTTCCATACCAAGTGTGCAGATTAAAAACTCGTTCTTCAAAAGAACTTCCCGCCGCCGCTGCCACCCCTCACTTCCCTTCACGTCCCCTCCCGTCCCTCTCTCCCCTCTCCCCTCACCGTGGCGTCCTGAGGCT